TTATTTCTGCTTTTTCAGGTTTCGGTTTCTCAATACACGTTTGTAAATCATTTTTTAAATCCAAATTTATTTGTTTGTCAGCGTTTCGTGCCGGCAAGCAATCAATTCCGCCACAAAGTTCACTGGATTCATTTTTATTACTTTTAGAATTAGTGTGATTATTTAAATCGCTCCTGCTAATGCCATTAGATGGTAACTCGTTCTTTATGCCCTCCTTTTTAGGCGATGGACTTACTGATATATTTCGGCAACTTAAATAATTTTGCATGCGTTTTTCTGCTCGATTGGTATTACTTATATTTCTATTTATTTTGCTAAAATTTCTAGGGCTTAATAGACCATTATTTAGGTCTTTGTAGAGAGATCTATGACGTTCCATCGAATAAAGTTAGTCTAAGTAAATTAAAAACGATATTCAAAGGCGCGAACAAACTGTAATACCGAACTGTTAAACAAAAACTGAAAAATAAATTCAAATGCCGCTATGGGTATTTATTGCGTTAGAAGGAAAATTTTTTAAATCCAGGGACGTATTAAGAAAAAATGATGGTTGATAATTTCCTACTAAAACATATAATTCACTATATTAATTATTTTAAAGAAAAACAATATTATTTTTTTGACAATACTTTAATTTTAAAGTTTAATAATTAAAATAACTCTCTGTTTTTAAAAAAAAATATTAATTGTGCCACTAATAATGTAGTAAAGGAATATTTAAAAATGTGTACCATGTATAACATATCTTTTATTGCAAACCGCCAAAAAGTACAATTAATTTATTGCGGTATAGGTAAACATCATACGTAGCTCGATAAGCTGTCGCCAGATCTGAGGTCACACTTATTATCTTACCTGTACTGATTAGTTTAACAAACTCATGCGCACGACCTGACAGAGCCGCAGGCGCGATAACTCGCCATTAGAGATGCTAAACATTCGTGCTTCCTTCTCACGGCTCATCCTCCGCCCTGGGCCCGCGCGCTCACCATAGACCGGCGCCGGCACGACGTTTTCTGCGGGTGCTTTCTTTTCTTCGTAGAAAAAAAAAAAAACAAAGGACCTCGGACGCTTTCCACACTTACACCTTAGCACCCCTATGGCACATCGAAGCCTTCCGGCCCAGAGCTCCGACAGGAGCACGCACAGCCCCCACCGCGCCCTCGCCTCTGGCGCGCCTCGCGCTCGACAGCACCGCTCACTACTTGTTTTCACTTCAAGTTACATGATTTATAAAACTTACGTAATTTGTGCGTAAAAAACTGTGTTTACACTTTAACTTCAAGACTTCAGTGTATACCGAAATTAATAAACAATATGTTAATTTTTTTGAAATACAAATCATAAAGATTTATTGCCATTTTTATTTAGAGTTAATTTTCTTAAAGTAAATATAACATAAATTGATGAAATATTCGCTCTAATTGTTTTGTTTTTAAATTTTTTTAATTAAATCGATATCATATTGGAATTCGGGACAGAATTTACTAAGAAATAGACTTAGAACATTAATAGGTTCTTATCTTACATATCTTTAAACTGATTTTGTATAGCAAATGTGATTTAATCTCACACGTTTGTTAAAACAAAATATTGAACAATGATGTTCAGTATAACAATATATAGTGTTCCTTACTGCTGATGGGTGGAAAGACTATATAATTCATAAGGCATTAATTATAAGTGAATAACTGATTAAATTTAAAATTTGTTCGTCTTTTATACAAAATAATATGAAACCATAATTAGTCTTATAGTGCAAGATATACAATAATTACTTAAATTAATTTATTATTTAATTAATTTTATTATTAATTTTATTATTTAATATTTAAACTGCTTACTAAGCAGTGAGTGCGAGCGAACATTAATTTATGACATAATTCTTAATTTTTTGTTGATTCGTCAACAAATATGTTAAGTACGATAGTGTAAACATACAATTAAACATTAGTACAAGTTCATAACACCTATCACTTTTTCTATTTTTTCCTTTAACAAAACACTTCCATTTACACATTTCTTTGTTCATAGTTTTAGGTCAGTAAAAAAGCGGCAATGCACTCGTTTTTATTTTTTCAAAGAAATAGGGCTTTGTAGACCAATATTCAGGTACTTGTAGGTAAATCTATGTAGACGCATTATTAGAAAAGTATTATCAATGAATAAATTCAAACATGCAAACAATATGGGGAAAATAATAGGCCTACTAAATAATCCTATTGTGATTATTCATATCAGAGAATATCAGAGAATCTTCTTTGATTCATATATTGGAAGTATAATTTTTTAAATCAGAGATGTAATTAACAAAAATATTTTTATACGGATACATACAATGGAATAAACACATTACGTTAATGATGTGAATGATCGATAGAATTTTTTTAACAAAACTTCAGTTTTAAAAACAAGTTGGTTGATATCATAATAATTTTGATATTCGATATATATATCGAAAGAATAATGAACAAATGTCGTATCTATTGTTCACAGCGTGGGCATAAGAAAATTCGCATGTTATATAAAAATATATCAGAATTCATAACCTTTTTCTATATAATAGGTGTGTTCCAAGAGCTACTCATGGTAACTTTGAGTAATACTGTATATACAGAAGTGCAAATTTACGAGCAGATGAGAGCATCTGAGAGAGAGTAATATCCCAGCGAAGTTTGAAAATGCTACATAGATTTTACTCGTACATTTTAGATCTGTTCAGTGAGTTACTTGTAGTAAAACATAAGTAAAGTACAAACTAAAAGCGTAACACAAATAAAGTGTCAAATTTCGCTCTTTACACAGATTTTCATGGAACAGCTCGTGTAATAGACCTAGTTATTTTTGATAAATTATTTGATTTTATTAATATATAAAAAATTTAAGAAAAGTTATTGAAAAACAATTTTTAAAAATTTGTATATATATTTGTTTTACAGTTTTACTAAGGCAAGCTTTAAATATGCTATTATATAATAAAGAGAATTCTAAACGTTGTATATATACTTTTTTCGCTAGAATTTAGATATGATATTTAAAGTAGAAAAGTAGAAACAAACTATGAGAATGGGAAGCTGGAAGAAATATTTTTGGTAACAAATTATATGCCGCCATGTTTATGTCATTAAGGAAAATCTTATTCAAATTTGGGAAAAAAATTTTGGGAACATAATTTTTTTCCAAGTAAAGAATTCTGAATTGAGCAATAAATTTTAAGGATATGTATTAATTGAAATCTTATATTAATATTAATTTTGTTTGATTTTTTCCCAATTTTTATTACTATCATAATAATTTTTGTATTTGCACTAATGAATATCTATGTATTTATGTTTCTTGTAGTGAAATTATTTGCTTTTAAAATAAACAATAAATTTAAGGCAGTCAAAATTTGATCTTTACCATTTTCCTATTGACTGGACTAAGATTTTCTAGAAATGGCTTATTCTGACTTTTAGTCATATCAATATATATTTTACACACAGAATTGACATGTAACTCCATATTAATTTTTATGAAACAAAAGTTTGTGGCGTAATGTAATTTTATTTTTCATTTAAAACAATGTTTAAGCACACAAATAACAAAACAAAACAATTTTATATGGAATTTATAGAAAAACTGATATTATCCATTATGGAGTTAATTACGAAAGTGTAAACTTAATGTTATGTCGTTTTCGTAATTCGCCTATGCCATTTAGAAACTTCAAAAATACATACGTAAATAAAATTTTTTTGCAACATTGGTAAATTTCCTCAAAGCAGTAGTGTATTATTATGATAGATGGCAACACTCATCATTTCCATTTCAAAGAAACAACGAAGCATTATATTTGTTTTACGTCTGATTTTTATATTAAAATTGTGTAGATCTGTAGTGTAGTGCGAAAATGAAAATAAATTCATCTTCACATTGGTGGCAAAAGAAAAAATCTGGATTTTTTCAGTTTTAACACCAGAAAAGGTAATTCTTAAAAAAGGCAATAAATAAAAATTGACTTCATAATTTGTACATATTTTACATAGCATCTCTATGTTGCTTATACATATACGCATACATATGTACAGAGTTGCACAGTAAAGATAGTGTGAGACAAAATGTTCGATTACATGAACATGTTCATATATACATATATCCCTTGAGGGAAATTTTGATGAAAATTTCATGTTGGTAAGTCTCAGTAACTCCATAGCAACTTAAATTGTACATTCAAGTTAAATGGACATAAAACCTCGTAAGTCAAAGACATAGAGCGCAAGTAGTCCACAGGCAGAAAAATTTAGTTTTAAATTTAAACAAATTACTCGAAAATGTATCTGTGATCAGTGAGCAATAAAACTTTACATTAAAATTTGTTATAATTTGTGGTAAAGTGTGCATATGTATATATATGTAATTTATTTTAAATATTAAGTTTAAAAAAATATTGTGATTGAAAAGTAATTCCTTTCATTATAAACACCCCCCGCATGTCGATCTCTTTCATAATATTTATTAAACAAAATTTAATTCATTTTGATTTGGTTTGATTTGTTTTAATAAAATATTATAAATATTTTGTTTATTAAAAGAAAAGTAATTAATATTGCATAATGTTTACAGATTATTTTTGATAATTTTAAAATTTGATTACAACTAAATAAAACACATTGTCATTACGGGGTTTGCAACATGGTATCCACACGTCAAATGGCAACCAGCGGCAATGGCGCTCAACAACAACAAAACAATCAGGCCGCCAACAATACCGTCGATGAAACTGTTCGACTTTTCTATGTTACGCGCCAGGCATCAAGCTCCAATTATTTACTCCTCAATACCTCTATGATAGGAAGTCCATCCTTACGTACTATCAGTCATTCTATAACTCGTAACTCAACTAATCGTAGAGATTCGGATGACGATGACAAGCCAAGCTGCAGTAGACCTAAAGTTAGTTCAAGTAATAATGGCAAAAATTTACTTGACTTGCCACAAGAAGTCTTGGAACATATTTTGTCATATGTGAGCTACAAAAATGTTGGGCAGTTAAGATCAGTAAGTAAATAAACTAAGTAAGAAACACATATAACTATTAATTATATATATTAAATGCGAATATTGTATTTAGTTAGTTTTATTTCTAAATCGGGCTAATTAAAGGCAAAAAACGACGAGAGCCTATTGACAACTTTAGTTTTTGCAGTTTAAATAAAATTATTATATAGCGGAATACATCTTCGCCTGAGGAATAATCTATATGAACTAACAAACATTACTAGCAAATCACTTGTCTCAAACTTATTCGATTTTGATCGGGTCTTACTTTAACCAATAAAACACTAAGTGTTAGCATCAAATCGAATTAGGACGAACTAACATTTTTAGTTATTTATATAGTACTTAATCTTTGTGGATGATGCATGATGTTTCTGGGAAGAATCCCGCAGATAAGGGAGCACGTGAAAATATATTTTAAAAAGTTCTGTGGTTTTATATTCATGCAATAACTTGCAATCCGGCAGTGAAAATTACTCTGAAAAAAGGTGAATTCGTTAATACAAATCAAATCAGTAATGAGAAGGATGATGTGGAATAAGTAACGAAATTCATTTACATCATATCAAAGTTAAATATGTTGCTTATGGTGATCTCATATGGCTGAGCAAATCTTCTGTTTTCGAATTGCTCTTTTTAATGATATGTTAGATAAAAACCTATTAAGATTAGCATTGCAATAAAACCATTGAAACTTTGTATATGATGCCCTTTGCTAGTTCTAAGGCTAACCGAATAAATGCATTTTTAATGTAGACTCTCCAAGAATTATAGAATATACAACAGTGTATAATGAAATTTACATAATATTGATATTGAAAATTTAAGACATTATTAATGTAATTATGGATTTTGTTCTTGATTTAATAGGTGTCTCATCAAATGAATAACGTGTGCATGAATATTCTGAATTCAACTTTCAACAAACAAATCACTTTGACGTATAATAGGTTTCAATGTATCAAAGCAAATATGCCACGCCGCGAATCTGCCCGACGTAATCACCCATTGTCATGCGAATCTGACATAATTGAGACATGTTATATGAGGCTCTCCCTTTTACAAATGACATTTGGCAAACATATCGAACGTAATCATTGTTGCTTCTTTCCTGGTGGGATATTAGATGAAGTTTACACAATATTAAACTACATTAAAAATACACCAGTTTTGGAACGTCCATATCGAGTAACTGATGAACTTTTTGATTTATCAACAATGGCCATGGAATATTTTAAAGATCGCATTGAGCCTACTTTACCAGGTATAGCGTTTAATAAGGATTTCTATACAATGCCATCCATAACTCAACGATGTAAGCAACAATATTTAATTTACATTATAAATTTAGTTATTGAAAATTTTTACTTATATTAACAGCAAATTTACCATTGGCTGTCGATATTGAATCCGATAGTTCATCTAGTTTACCGTCGCCACCACAAAGTAATATGGTTCTACGTAAGGGAATACGTAAGATAAAACAAGGCATGAAGATCTATAATAACCAACTATCGGTATTGCGCACGGAGTTACGTAGTTGCAAGCGTAAAACTGCCGAACAAACTAAGCAACTTGCGGAACAAATGAAATTATATGCTGAGCAACAGAAACAAACATTGGAATTTGCGAACCGTTTCGACGAGATCGATAAGAAGAACGAAGAAATGTCTCACAAATTTTCAACTTTGTTACAGGTAAGATATTGAAAATATGTAAAAAATTTGATGTTTCACAATGTTGGATAGATGAGAATAATATTTGGTCATCAGGCAACTTGTAGAGAACAAGCCATTCACAAATTTTTTGGTAGTCCAATATACGCACAAAAGGCAATCAGTTTATTTAATTTATTTAATTTCAAATATTTTAAATTACAGGAACTTAACAAATGCAAAACTGAGTTGCAATATTGGCGCTCAAAAAGTCCAGCAGTACCAATTTGTTCCGCTTGTGGACAAAAAGTTGTACCCATGTTGCCTTCTGAAGATATACAAGCTTTAATTAATCAGGGTGTTAAGCCAGAAGACTTATTAAATGTAAACGAGATGTCAGTAGAAAATAATAGCAATCAAACCAATTCACCAACAGACACTGGATTTGTTTATCCTGATGAGGCAACAACATCGAAACTGATTGCAATCACCTCAAACAAAAATAAACGCCAACATGCTATGTCAACCACTGTCGATGAAGGTAATGCCAATACTTCTCAACAGGAAACAAATGATAATACTGACACTAGTGGTAAATAAAATAATAACCATTTGAAATACTATATATTAATAAAAAAAATTTGTTTTAGTCACTTTCACTAAGTTTTGTGGCAACCAATGCGGCAATAATACCGAAAAAGTTAAGGACAATGAGACACCACCTGTTAATGGTGGTGTTAGTAATACAATTAACAGTGTGGGATACTCCCCCCAATTGTTTTACGGGCATAACACTTCACATAAAGGCGTTATCGTTAGTACAGCGACAATCGAGAAACCGGAAGCTACAGTTGCTCTTACTGACAGTGTAGCTATTTTAGAATCTGGTTCAAGTGTATCTAATGTTGCTGGAGGTGCTATTAATAACGCAGCTTTTATCGAAACTAATGGTGGTGGCACAGAAGATGTTATTTCTTTGCAAGGCATAACATCGCATGAAACAAAAAAAGCACGTAGAGTACAAAAAGCCATGAGATGTGTAAATGTTAGTGGCAAACGCAGTAAATAATTATATTTTAAAAAGAATCGAATATATTATTATTAAGTAAATTTTGTTATTAAGAAACATAAATACGTAAACAACTTTTTGATACATAACGTAAAAGTGAAAAATGCACATTAGCATTTAGTTAAGTTATATAAAACTTTAATTCTTTTTAAACCAATTATAGTGCAAATAATTGAAAATGATATGAACCCACTAGAACTGTTAGTACATAATGTGTAATACAATTAGAAAATAATTTTCTTCCATAAACTTCTGTGTTGTGGAATGAACACTAGCATAATTTCTATGTTTCCAGTAGCATACACAATTTCATTCAAAATATACAAACTAAGTGATGAGACATCAAAAATAGGAAACCTCTTTGGGCTATGTAGCTCTTTTATTTATTCAAATTTTTATCACCTTTTGCATTTATGGGTATTTGAAGTATACGCACGTACCTATATTATTAAGCAATTGGTGGTGCTAGAGTAATTTGCAATATTATTGTAATAGTTTAACTATACTTCCGATATCTATTCTAATAATGTGATTCTTTTGTACAGAGTACAGTTCTAAAATGCTACTGATGTCAATGTTATATAAAACTAATGTGTATGCAGCAGATATTTGGTCTTTTAATAAAAAAGAAATTGTAAATTTTCAAAATAAATAATATTTTGCCTGCAACAATTATTTAAATATTTAAATTTATTTAAATATGCAATACAAATCACGATAATTGGTTGCTGCTAATACACCATATCCTTCTTATTGTACATGTTAATTTAATGAAACATTTTTCAATTTCATATAGTACAGTATTTAAAAGAACAAGAACATCATGTCCTTATTGTACATGTTAATTTAATGTAACATTTTTCAATTTCATATAGTACAGTATTTAAAAGAACAAGAACATCATGTCCTTCTTATTGTACATGTTAATTTAATGAAACGTTTTTCAATTTCATATAGTACAGTATTTAAAAGAACAATGTTGCAAAGACCATATGTTGCAATTATAAGTGTGTATTTAGGATTTAAAAAAATCAAATTATTTTTGTATTGTATTAAAATGAATTCACAAATGAAAATAATTTCCTGAAGGTAATACTTAAATGTACATTTAGTTTATTTATTATAACAAATGTTATATATTATTAATTTCACAATGCAATTAAAAGATAATAAATTTTTAATCAATTGTATAATAAAAAGTTACCTGCATAATTGTTAAAACACCAATTTCCAATAGTTGAAACACGAAATCAAATTTAAATTGAATTAAATATTTTAACATTTATGAAAATTATAAAAAAATATTTTCTCACTTGAATGGAACAGAGAATTCTTAATGATAGCAATAAAAATATTTCATGTTATTAAAACAAAGTATTTTTAATATGTAATTGTAAAAAAATATAAGAGATGTATAAGAGATTATGTAAATGAAATTGTTTTAAGTGTTAAGTGTATTGAAAGTAAAAAACAATTTTTAATCAATTGCTTTCGATTTACACTTAATGCCTAAAATAATAATATTGATTTTAGAAAAAATCAGTTCATAAATAAATGTATAATTATAGATAAAGATACAAGGTTATATTAATTGTTAGAAAACAAATGCAAATAAATACATTGAAGAAAAGAGATGTTTAAGAATGTAATATTACTTTAACTTTTTAATTAAGTG